GCAATAGGAAAACTTGCTGCCAATGGTGGAGCCGAGTTGGCGGATGAGTGATAGCTTTCCTCCACCGAGGCCAACAAGGCCAGCACCATTCTTGTCAAATGTGCCATTGCTTTGATGGGTGCACCCGAAGAGAGTTGTAGGGATTTGTACTGGACGACCTCCAGTAGAGTCAAAGCCTATTGTCTCCGTGGAGAGGTAGCCTTCAACGATTGACTTGTCACCATATCCATATTGATAATAGCACTGAGAGGATGCGCCACAACTACTTTGTGGTAGTGTCGAGCATGAGTCGGTATTACAAGCGATTGTTTTGTATGTAGAAGAAGCTTGTGGGTCAAAAAGAGGGGTAGTTTGTTGGTAGCATTCATTACAGGGGGCGCATTGGACCCATATGAGGTCACTGCCTGTGTCGGCAATGGCAAGGATCTTCTTGTTTGGAGTGCCAAGGTAGAAGCTCATCAAGTATTCAAAGGTGTTTGGGGTGATCTCTGAGTAGAAGTTGTTGGCATCATCCATGGGGAGCGCAGAGGAAGTACTACGAGCCTTTTGGATGGCATCACGAAAGTAAATGGCACGGGAACGAGAGCGCTCAGCAGCCGCACGGATGCGGGAGGAATATGTGAAATTGGGGTCATAAAGAGGCGACTTAGGGGAGTCCCGATGGATGAGCTCTACAGAAAAGCCACTGCCACCGCACGATGCCAAAATGGGAAGGTGGGTGACGGCTGAGAGAATGAGTAGAGAGATTGCAAAATAGGATGGAGAGCAAGTCATGTTGATGTGTGGATGTTTCTTTTCTTTTCTTCTATTGTTGTTGGTGGTGATTGTGGTGCAGAAGTCTGGTATTTATAGGTTCGCATAATAGAAAAAGGGAACATTTTTTTTTTATTGTTATTATAGTCATTTCGCAAATAAGCACAGAGGAAAAAACAGGCAAGGTGACGTGAATTATAAAACAGGCTCTCTCTATCAATTTATTCCGTCGTAATAAAAATGAAATTAGTTATATAAATGAAAGGACCTGCTGGAAACGTTTTCTTCTACGTGTACGTACAATAAACGGAATAGAAGACAAAAAATTAGTTTTTATATTTGTCAATGGCGTTGCTTGAAATGTAGTGTTGAAGGAAGGGTTACCCACTTTGAATTAACAAATAATTTAATTTGCCAAAAACTAAATAATATATTTTTTTTAATTTTAAGTGATATTTGTTAATTATCATCCAATTAATATGCGAGGAAAATAGGATTGTGCACAACAAAAAGCCCATTTTTTTGTTAAATCCATATCAAAATCATCAAACGCACTTTTGAATGTTTTGTTGATACTATACTTTATGGAAAAGATTAAGATGTTATGTTTTCCAGAGGTACTTTTATATATATATATATAAAAGTATGTGTGTGTGTGTGTGTGTGTGTGTGTGTGTGTGTGAAACAGAGTAGTGTGTATGAAAAAGATTAAGATTAAGATGTTATGTATATATATATACACACACACATATCTCTGTGTGTGTTTGTGTGTGTGTGTGT